ATATGTGGTTAACAATTTCAGGTCCGAGCAAGGCAACTGGAATGGAGTTCGATCAGAATGTCAGACGAATCCTTTCACTATGGATGCCTGGGGCGTCACATTAATTGCTAAGTTGCTAACTCATTAATGATGAGCTGAAGTTTAGTTCATTCAATGGGAGAACTACATAGCTCATTAATGTTCTAGGGTAAGCTCATAAGTTGGATTCATTTTGGAATGGTCTTGTCCCTTCTCCTCCCCTTTTCTTCTTTAAAATTTGCCTTTGTCCCATGGGTTTTCGTGGCTGGCTTTTGGGTTTCCTGTGTTGCTTGTATCCCGTGCCTTGGCCCCTTGGTTCTCACGGTTGGCTGTTTTTCGTGCCTTGGCTCATTGGTTACCACGGTTTGGCTGTTTTACGTGCCTTGGCCCCTTGGTTTCCACGGTTGGCTGCTGGGTGGCCTTCCCGTGTCTTTAGTGCATCGGTTCCGTGCGGGCCTCTTTGGTTCCTGTGGCTGCCTCTTCGAGTCCCTGGATGGGCTGCTTTCCCGTGGGTGTTGGGGGCTTTTCCATGGCTTATGGCGCTTTGTTTCCTGTGTAGATTTGGGGGAAGGCAGTAAAGTGGCTGTTGGCTTTTCATTTCCCTCATTTAATTAGGAATATGAAGGGTTTTTGGGATTGTTTGGTTTCTCCTCTCTTGCCTATAAATATGAGATGTTTTGAGAGGGAAGGGGAGTTGATTATTGAGAGCAAAGTTGTTAAAAACCTGAGGGTTCTTCTTGGAAAAGCTTGAGAGCTTGTTCCATTCTCCTTCTCCTCTAGGAAAGCTTGCGAGCTTCTCCTCTTTTGTCTCGTCTTCTTATCTCTTTCGTGTTTCCGCAAGTTCCACTCCATTTGTATCCTTCTTCTTAAGCTTTGGTGGTGTTTGTTGGCTGATTTGGGAGTATTTGCTGGAGGAGTTTGGATTGGGCGGTTGAACAATCTTGCTGTGGTGGACCATCGGTTTGCTAGCCCTAAGCACTATTTTACTTTAACCTACATTTCGATGCATGTGAGGAACCCGCTCTGACGGTTGTCTGAGTATAGCGTTTTTATTATTATTATTTTCTTTGTTTCTTTTGACTTTCTTCTAGTTTTTTTTTTCGTCAGATTTTGGATGTTATAGATGATTGCTACTATTTGAATCGAGTTTGGTTTAGTTCTGCCCATTGTTCTCCTTGTTTTGGCTTTTCTAACTAGTGTGCTTACATCACCTGCCCGGTCAGGTCGCGGGGTCAAAGGGCAGCGCCCCTGCGGTGGTTTCCGGGGGCAGCACCCCCGGAACAAAATTTTATTATAAGAGTAATTTTGAAATTCTGCTTGTTTTTAAAGTTTGTAAGTTGATTGTATGGAAAAATACCGAGCGGTACCGAGCATGTACCTAGTGGTGAGACATGCAATGATTTTAAGACGCTGAAAGAGGAAGCAGGTAAAGTTTAAACAGTGGTCGAATAGTTAGTGTTACCTTCGGTTCGAGCTCCGACTTCACACGAAGCGTGACGAACTCAAACCAGCGGTCGAACAGGAAGAAAGGTCGTTCCCGAGCACTCATGCCGGATCGAAGAACTCACTTGTGGTCGAACACGAAGCAGCTCTCAAAAGGGATGAAGCGGAAATTGCGCGCTCGAAAGATAAGGAATTTGTTCTTCGTTGTGAGCTCCATCGAATCCTAATGAGGCGTCGCCTCACGCTGCCTCGAGGCGTTACGACTCGCTGAAAAAAATCGCACACCTCGTCAAATACATTGAGGCTTAAGCCTCAAGGCGCCAGGTTAGCGCCTCAAACTGAGTCGCGCCTCTGTTCGGACGCCTCGACCGCTTTTTTAATCGTTGGCTAATCATAATTCCGAACATTTATCAGAACTTGATTTTTAGAGTTAAAATTATATGGTTAAAGTGAAGAAATGCCTCAAGAATGCTATGTGATAATATAACCATTGATATCCAAGTTAAGTATGACAAATGATAATGTTTAGTTGAATTCTTGGTTAAACTAGGAATGATAAAGTAAGAACGTTTGTAATAGAGTGTTAATGGGATCCATATTTAAGATAAATCAATAGAAAATAAAATTTAAGTGTTTCGTAATGATAATGGAGAGTGGAAGGCACATTAATAAGATGGAATGATAGATTACGTTAAGGGATCTTATAGGAGAAAAAGTTTGATCAAGATAACATGGAGTTCATGCAAAAAGGCTGAACAAAATAGATTTATCACATCCATATAGCACTGACATGAAATGAATGGACAATGAAGTTTCGTAAAGCTAACCCAAATAGTTGGAATAAGGCTATAGAAAGCATCATGAAACTTTAAAGAAGAAATGCATAAATTTTTAATGCTCTCTCTGACTATGATGCTATTAACGTAACATTACATATTGCCCTTTTCCACATCAGAAATCAAGCTTATTGATGTTCCTGAAATGAACTATACTTCTGAAGATCATCCCTTTCCTTTTGGTGAAATATTTGTTAGGGAGCACATAATATTTTGAGGCCACTATAGAGCTAACGTGCACATGTAATTTCTTTCTCGGATAAATTAGATTTACGTTAAAACTTTGTGAAATTGGTTTTTTTCTTATGCATAGGAGAAGGTTGTTGATGAAAATGGATGGCTGCATATTGGAGATATTGGTTCATGGTTACTTGGTGGACGTCTAAAAAGCATTTATAGATAAGGTAAAACTTACTGTTTAATTTCATGTCTTTTCTGCATTGACCTTAATTTTGTTAATACTGTTTAAAATGCTTTAAGTTCACCATTCACATTCTTTTAAAAGGTCTACTATTTTTTTTTCTTCCTTGCTCCTCATGAACTGGAAATACAAACTGAAGTTATTGTTTTATTGCATAGCTTTATCCCATCAATCATCAGCTATGTTGTGGATACATGGAAGCTTTTGTTTTTCAAGAAGCAGTTCTTATAGAAATATTAAAATATTAACTTGAGGGCTAGAAAACTTAGAATTCCTTACAATTTGAAACATTCATTCATTTGGTATTTCTGGTTTATGGTGGTGGGGTTGTTTTGATTCATATGAGCTATACTTTGATTATTTCTCTAGCAGAAATGGATAACATTTTATATTTTTGTGCATTGGACCTAAGTAAGGTGTCTATAAACTACAATCTCTTCATTTTGTATGTTGATAACTTTGGCTTTATAATTGTACTCTTTCCTATTATTTCAAGAGCTAAACTTATCATCTAAATGTATTACTCATGGATTTGCTATAAAAAATATCCTATTTTGCCTATTGATTCATGGTGGACAATTGAGTCATAGGTCTGCTTCAACCATAGTTGATGTTGAACCATGGGTTGGATCTTTGGCTGTAAGCTTTCATTGCTTCTCCATCTGTTTGGTTCAACCATTTGGTGTCACCCACCTTAGTTTATGTAAGCACCTAAGTTTTTTTTTTTTAAATCTATTTTTTCTGGGATTGAATACTTTTATCTCCTCTATCTGTTTGGTTTCACCATTTGGTCTACCTCGGCAAATGTAACTAGCTTAGTGTTTGTTTTCATTTTTTTTTTAAAGTTGAGGTGGTCTGCTCAACCATTTTAAGATTTTTTCTATGTTAATCAAGCTGAAAATTTCAACTTAAGCAGTGCCAAACTTGTGTTTCTAGAGGATTGAACTTGGCGTATCCTTGTATTGAGCCATCATGGTTTTGGCTTTTCTAAAAATGAGTTTTTTTTTTTTTTTTTTTAATGTTTATATGGCAAGCATTCAAGATTGCTTACAGTCAGAACAGAGCTGGTCTAACTTCCTAAAATATGAGAAGTTTGGCCCTGTCTAGTTGGTCCCTTCTATTATGTCCATATCAATGGTTTGCATAATTTGTGTGTTAATCAGGCTGGGTTTTATTAGCCTCATGAAATTCCAACGTTAAGTGATCTTGACCTAGAAAGAAGTAAAAATTTTGGCATGTCCAATTTATGATAGGTGTAGGACTTGTTCAAATCAATTTCTTAATTTGACCTCGGTTCACCTAATATCGCATTTGACCTTCGATGCGAGCGACTGTCAAATGACACGACGCATCACTAAAGTGCTCAAACAATTTCCGATTGCCAAACAGATTGCGCTGTTGTGATTAGAAATTCGAATTTACCTAAGAGGGAGTCCTTCGCTGTCAAATCGAGCAGATATGATTGAAATTGATGATCTACACCATAGATGTCAATGGCGCAAAATAGCGCGTGCCATGGCGCACGGCGCGGCGCACCTACGGCGCCATGTGTATGGCGCGGCGCAAACGTTCAAAATAGCACGCGCTATTTGCGCCACATGCGCGCCATGGTGCATGGCGCAAAATAGCATGTGCCATTTGTTTTAAAATTTTTTTAATGTAATTATAAATATATATATTTTTTATTTTTAAGATGGGACCATGCACGGGAAAATCGACGTGGATTTCAAGGCGACAATGCGCGAACTGAGATGTGCACAAAATATTTTTAATTTTAAAATTAGTCATTTTACTTTAAAAAAATATATTTACATATATATTTATATGCTAAATTAATTAAAAAAAATTAATTATAAAAAAGTACTATGTATTTGTTGTTCGGTGTCGATGCCACTCACTTTGCCCCCGCGATCTCTGCTCAAATCTTGCTCGAAGAAGCCTACAAGCAGCTTGCTCTCATTGTTAAAATGAGAAGGAACAAGATGATCCTCGGTTTCTACCCGCACACAAGTAGCAAGCACCCAATCCTGCACACGAACTCTCCCTCTCTTGCTCTCTTCTCTTGGTCTAACCCCTACATCAAGCTGACCCAACCTTACGCCTGCAACCCTCACCTCCCTCTATTCCTCACGCGGTCGAACACATGCCCCCAGCCTCCCGGTTCCTCCTTGTAGCTTGCGACCGACCCTCATGTTTGATCCACGCTCGGCTTTGATCCTTCTAGTCGACCCCCTTGTTCGCAAATTGAACCCCCACACTCAACTGACCGTCAGCCACTCACCCGCACATACAACAGCTCCCATTCCGCCTCCCTCTACCCGATCTGTCCAGCTGACGCCAACACCTGGCCTGCTAATTTCCTCCCTCACTCGAGCTCAATGCTCGATAGACCCGCCTGCATATAGCTGCAAACGAACCGAGTCGAGCCGAGTATGTGAGTGTTCATGTTTGAGTTCATTTAATATCAGCTTGTTCAAGTTTGGTTCGTGTTTGTTCAAGCTTTATTGTTTGTGTTCATGTTTAGTTCATTTAAATTAATGAATGTTCATGTTCAGTTCATGTTTGGTTCGTTTAGAGCTTATCGAGCTTTAAACAAACAATCATGAACGAGTTATAAACGAGCTGTACTTTTAGATATTCATTAACTTAACAAACGAGCTTTATCGAACATCCTAATAAACGATTACATCGAGCATGTTCGTGAACATATTTAATGAATTTTTTTAAACTATCAAACAAACACGTTCATGAACATATCTATGAACAACCACTTTTATAATAAAAGCAATTGTCTATGTAAAATGAAAATAACATTAATCAATATGAATGTATTTTTAAATGAAGCTTACCTGTTGCATTTCTCTCCATTTGGTACACGATATAAGCTTTTATTGAGCTTCTTATCGAGCTTAATATTGAGCTTGTTCACGAGCTTCAAATGATGTTGTTCGCTAACATAAATGAGACGAACGCATTAGTGTTCAAGTTTGTTTATTTAAGAATCGAGTATTTAAAATATTGTTCAAGTTTGTTTGTTTAGTTAATTAAATAATCACAATAGAGCTTTAATCGAACCGAACAACGAGTAGCTTGTTGAACGCTTGGTTTTCTTGCAGCCCTACGCCTGCATTCCACTCCCTGTTTGACACCCAACCTCATTCTAGTCGGCCTGTTGAACCGCCTCCTCTGTTCGTTCACACAAGCCCCACGCACGCCAGGCCCGATCCTGCAATCCTGGCCCTTCCTCTCCGTCTCCCAGGCCGCACCTCTCACTCCCGTCCCTTTCTTCCTCACGACTTGCTCTGATCTCCTGTTACCTGTTTGAATCCCTCTGCATGTTTTCACCCAACCGTAGCCTCCACTGTCGCTCCCTTGGCTCCTCTTTCACACCAAGTAGAGCCGACCCCAATCTCCTGTACGCAACAACTCTCATCTCTTTTTCTCCTTACCATACCCATCTCCTAACCTGTAGTTATGCCTCCGCCTACAGCAGCCACTATCTGTTTAGCAAAGCAGCCCTCATTTCCAACTCCTACCTCACAACCTACTTCACTACAACCAAACTCCTTTTACTCGGTAAGCTAACTCATACAAACAAGACCCCAAGCAACCCACATATGCCTGCCATTTTTCAGTCCATTTTCCTCTCCTTATGTAACACCCCACAATACTCTCTAACCGTACTGTAGAGTGTTACAAAAAGTGGTATCAGAGCAATGTTCTAAAATTCTGAGGATTCAAGTAAGGAAGCATAAGAAGGTTAATTATTTAAGAGGATAAAATTGATGTGATAGAATTATTACAGAGCCTAGGAAACATAGTATTTCTAAGTTAAGTAATGAGTCTAATTTCAGTTGATTTATATGAAACCATGTGTATTTTTTTTATGATTTGTATGTTCTTATATGAGGATAATGTGATAATGTCTAAATAGTAACACATGATTATATATATGCATAACTATTAATGTAATGTGTTACAGATTTAATGACTGAAAGAATACCTGAAAGAGAGGAAGGTCAGTCATCCCAACCTATTAGGATCTCTGAAGATCCTGAAAATGTGGCATCGGTAGGAGGCAGTGCACCTAATGTAAATCCTACACCTGTAGGAATGGATGCTATGAATGCAATGTCAGGGATAACATAAATCTATTTATTTAAACAAGGAAATCAATTAACTGATATTTAGATAAATACCTGATCTTTTTGGTTCTCACAAATCTTCCCTCCTTTAAAAATTTCGTCCCCGAAATTCGACATTTCATACTTTTTCAAACAAGTGAGGAAACTTCTGTTTCAATTCTGCTTCCCTTTCCCAAGTAGCATGCTTTATTGATCTATGCTTCCATTTCACCTTTACAAAAGGAATCATTTTGCTTCTAAGTTTTCGAACATCCCTTTCCAAAACCAACTCAGGTTCTTCCACATATGTCAAATCTTTTTGAAGTTCAATTTCTTTCTCAGAGACCTTTTGACTTTCATCTGTAATCCATTTTCTAAGCATTGATATATGGAAAACATTATGAATATCAGACATGTCCCTAGGTAATGCCAGCTTGTAAGCAACTGGTCCCACTCTCTCGATGATTTCAAATGGTCCAATATATCTTGGACTTAGTTTTCCACCTTGGCCAAATCTAGAAACTCCTTTCATCGGTCTCACCTTCAAAAATACAAAATCTCCCACTTCAAATTCTATCATTTTATGCTTGGGGTCATAATATTTTTGTTGACGGTCTTGAGCTGCTTTTAATCTGTCTCTGATCAGTCTTACCTTTTCAGTAGCTTGATCCACTAATTGTGGACCCAACAATTGTCTTTCACCAACTTCAAGCCAACTCAAGGGAGTTTTGCATCTTCTGCCATATAAAGCTTCATATGGAGCCATCTTGATACTGGATTGATAGCTATTATTATAAGTGAACTCGATTAATGGAACATGATCTTCCCAGCTACCTCCAAAATCCAATATACATAATCT